ATACATGTATTTTATCGCGGCGAGTACCTACTTACAAAAAATTCTGTAACACTTAGTTTCTTATGACTTATGAAGCATTACTGTATTCGAAAATCAGTTTGTAATACATTGTTGTAGTGATTGCTGTGCTGTTTTTCTAGAGTACATTTAATAGCCGTATTTCCAAGTTTTCTTTTGAAAATGGCACATATATTTTGCAATCGCAAATATTATGATATGCTCATAATTTATGGTGAAACAAATGAAAATGCCCATAGAGCTTGTCAAGTGTACCGTGCAAGATATCCTGAACGACGTGCCCCCGCACCGCGAACATTTGTTGCAGTAGCGTAAAGAGTTTTGGACACCGGTGAAGTACAACCGCGTCCCGGGCGACCACTAAGAATCTTAAATATCGAGGAGATGATTTTAGATCTCATCGAAGAAGATCCGCATTACGAGAAGCTAAGTTGTGCCCATTTCATATTTAACGTGTTCAAACGCTTACTCCTGAGGATTTTCCACTACGTCGAGGTTTTTGTGAATGGTTGCTTCAGGAACGTGCAAGAAATCATCAATTTACAGCGCAAATACTTGTTACAGATGAAGCATATTTCAGTTGAAATGGTGTACATACAACATTCACCACTGGACTATCGAAAATCCACACGAAATACGTCGCGGTGCCTTTCAGCAACAGCTTTTAGTGTACGCATGTGGGCCGGTATCGTTAATGACACTTTAATAGGACCTTTTGAATTACCTAGACGCTTAGACGGTGCTTCATATTTAGATTTTGTGCAAAATCGCTTGCGGTGTTATTGGAAGACGTGCCCCCGCTCACTTTTTTCTTAGAGTGTACGACTTTCTAAACATTACTTTTCCCGATCGCTGGGTAGGCCGCGGCAGCCTAGTTAGTTGACCCCTCCGGACTCCGGACCTCGCCCCTTTAGACTTTTTTTTTTTGTGGGGATATGTGAAAAGTGCTGTGTATTCCACGAAAGTTCGTGACATCGACTAACTGCGACATTGTATCGTCGAAGCTTGTAATACGATTCGAGAGGACGTGGCAATGTTGCAACGCGCGTGAGCGAATTGGATACGTCGCGCTGAAGCTTGTGTGCAAGTAAATAGTGAGTACATCGAATATCTTCTATGAAAATCAGCAGTTCTTAAAAGGTGGCTCCTTGCAATGTTGAGGTAGGTCACATTTTACTCAATACAAATCCGTGTATTTACCTCATTTTGACATAACGAACATATGGCAAAAAAAATTGACATAAGTTCAGTAATACCCTTTATAATTATAAAGTCATATCTTGATGGTAGTTGCTGCTCAATACTTACTAGTGCTGATATTGTTTTGTATCTACTGGCAGAGTGACCTACTACGCTGTAGGTGTTAAGAGAAAATTATGATTTGTATAACAATAAGCGAACTTAAGTTTTTAACAAATAATATTGTGGGAAACGACTACTATTCGATGATTCGTCAACAAAATCATCACGAACCTGTTTCGAATTTATTAGTTCTCATCAGTATGCCATAGAAAGAGAGTAAAACTTTATTTCACCAAGTGCAACACAACTAAGTCTTTCATAGTATCTATAGGTACAAAGTAGTGATTTGTGAGCAAGGCATTGAGTAACAATGACAATTAGCATATGCATACTTTGTTGGTTATATCTCACCCACACTCAAAACATGTCGGTATATGAGATCTAAATACCTACATCTTTCGTTGGTGGTCTCACCTGTAGTATATTAAGGACTAATAAATTCAGAACCGGTCCATGTCTGGTGATTCTGCCGACGAATGGTTTCAGATTTACTAGATATTGCGATTGTCTGTAGTCCACAGAGTAGTTGTTTCCCACATCATTAGTTAAAAACATGAGTCAAGGACCTAACATTGATCTTATTTTTAGTCAAAATTCTGGAGCTCCAGTAAAATTTATGTAATTTTATATTGAACATAGATTTTTATCTCGAAAAGTAATGAATAAATTAAGATTGTCACAAAATATTAAATTAAACTAATAAATTAATTTGTGGTTATCGTGTGTGTACTTGTTTCTATCTGTATAATATTTGAAATAAAAACTCTTTCCACGTTCTTACTTGACTTAAAAGGAAACTAGACCGCGACAAAACCGACAAGACCGGACCTGACGACAAAATAAACCCCGTCCACAAATACGGCCAAACAATCGAACTGAAAGGAAATGAAACTTACATGTCCTAACTTAAACTTATCGATAGGTGGAGGTTTTACATCATGATAAACAAAAGAGCCGCGTACCGAGTGGTACGGCCCACTATAGACGTTCCCACTGTACGAGCTCTCGCTGTAAGCGGGCTTGGAGAGCTGGAAGGTGGCGTAGGGGCAGATGTCCTCGATGTAGTCGGCGGACTCTGCCTTGTAGGTGTCCTCGACGGCCAGCGGCTGCTGTCCCCGGCCCACTCGGACCGCGAGGTACTGCTGGTCTCGGTTCTGCTTGTTCTGCATCTGGGCCATGGAGGGGGACTCGCCTATGGAGCGGCTGGGGTCCTCCCTCTCTCTTCTTATCTCTAGAAGGCGTAAAAATAAAGTTATCCGTACTTAATATCGTGCTGATGGTCAGCGCGCTGATGGTCAGTGCGCTGACGGTTAGCGACTGTGTCTTTTGTCACACGAAAGTCGTGAAAATAATGTCTATAGTTAAAGTCCAAAATTTTTGGGCAAAACTTAAACTCTCTGACAAATGGGCGCTGACGGTCAGCGTGGTGATGGTCAATGCGCTGACGGTCAGCGACTGTGTCTTTTATCACACGAAAGGCGTACAAATAATTGGCTATAGTTAAAATCCAAAATTTTCGGGCAAAACTTAAACTCTCTGACAAATGGGTGCTGACGGTCAGCGTGGTGATGGTCAGTGCGCTGACGATAAGCGGTTTTTTTACACGAAAGATGTACAAGTAATATCTAAAATTTGTCTGCAAAACTTGAGCCTTGTGTGAGTGGTGCTGACGGTCAGCGTTCTGATCGTTTGTGTTTCTATTCAAACTAAAGGCGTAAAAATATTATCCAAATTTAAAACCCAAAGGTAACCTATAAAATTTAAGACCCGTGTCAAACGGGCTTTGATGGTCAGTCGATGCGCTGACGGTCAGCGTTTGTGTTCGTTTCATTCGAAAGGTATAAAAATAATGTTAAATACATTTTTTATAATCTAGAATTTTTTTGCAAAATATATACACGGTGTTAGACAGTCGCTGACGGTCAGCATGCTAATGGTCAGTACGCTGACATCGGTGTTTGTAAAGACGTAAAAATAATATTCATATTTAAAATCCAAAATCTTTCAGCAAAACTTAAGTTCTGTGTCGACGGACGCTGACGGTCAGGTGCTTATGTTCAATACGCCGATGGTCAGCGTTTGTTTCGTCATCACAAAAATTGTGTTATCCATATTTAAAACATAAAATGTTAAGTCAGTCGCTGATGGTCAGGGCACTGAGGTTAGCGTTTGCGTTTCTTTTCACAAGAGAGATGTAAAATTAACGTTATCCATTGTCTTACTAATATGGAATAAATTAGATCTTTGATTTTTTTGTATCATAAAATTACTGTCACAAATTTTGCAAACTACGAAGACGGAAATAGGTACCCATATAAAATATACATTTTCTATCAGTTTCTATGATTGTGTATTTTTGAAAATAAATATGTTCGCTATTCTTACACGTAGGTATTTGCCAGAACTAGGATTCTCTGCTTAAGGAAAAACTTTAATCCTTCTGAAGAACTTTTATTATTTTATAATTTATTTTAGAGGTTGTCCGATATGATCCAATAATATTGGGTATATTAAGCACGTTTTTTTACAGTTCGACGAAATGCACAAATTACTACGAATATTCTACAGGGTGTGATAATACTGACATTGACCAGTGTAGCACTAGAGAGAGAAACTAGAGAATACAATTTTTAACTAATAATATTTTATGAAACAAATGTTCTGCGGACTACAACTCCGTCCAGCATCGACACTCGCAATATCTATAAATAGTAAAAATCGTTTATCGAGGGATCACCAGACATAGACCGGTATAACATACTTTGTTTTATATCTCACGCGCAATAGATATATGTTTGTAGATAGACATTTAAATAATAATTTAAATAAGTTCAAAACTGGCTTGCATGCTGATTCTTCTGACCAATGATATTAGCTACTTACTAGATATTCCGGGTGTAATTAAATGCTGGACAGAGCTATAACCCGCAGTGTAGTTGTTTGTAACAACATCCTTGGTTAACATGTTAATATTGTTTCAACACTGGCGACCTAACCGACATTGGTATTACCGTTAACTCAAAGAAAAAAATATTTTGTCATTTATTTGCACATTCAAGTCCATATGAATTTTTCTTTTTATTTTTAGTCAGAGAATCACTTTGTTAGTGAAATATTGCAATAAATTATTTTCTTATTCTCTCCTTTACTTTACCATAATAAAAAGTTGGAAATTGAATCTTAAGCAGTTTTTATAAGAATGCCAATTTAAGTAGTTATTTAAATCACATATAATATTTAATGGTATTCATGTAATACCCCCCCTTAAAATAAATTCCTATATGGAATTTAGTAAATCAACGACTACATTTTGGATAAATAATTTTTTAGTACTCGTCATGTTTTGAATTTTTTAATTTGAATAATTTAATTTAAATATTATTTTGACATTTCCAAATACTGATTTGTAACATTTATTTATCTTTACTATATTGCTAGGATTTTATTTAAACATCTTGTAATGTACAAATATTTCAAAACATTAGTTTTTATTTCAAAATATCAAATATTTGTAGTGTACTATATCATTTTTTATCATTTTTTCAATGCCTTTCTATCTTCAATACTTCAATATTTAATTAATAAAAGGAAAATGAAAAATAAAATAAAAAAGAAGCACAAATAAAATATTTATTTAAAATAAAATATATACAAAGAAAAAGAGAAATGCTTATAAGAATAACACATAAAATAAATATAAGAGTTATATTGTAGGAAGCTTTTTGGTTAACAATTTTTGTTTGTTTTTTTATTTACTTATTTAAGAAAAATATAGGTAAGTTGCTTGCCTTGTATACAAAAAAGCTGTTTACTGTAATAAAACGTGTATATTCCAGAATATATTTAAAATGTTACATCTCAAGGTTAAAAATGAACTAAAAACAGAAGAGGCAAAGTTTTAAATCCATCTTGCAAATTATAAAAAAAATATTTGAGTATAAATGTCAGACTTCTATACAGGGTGTTACGGCAACGAGTGCAAACAATTTAACGGGTGATTAAACTATTTTTTTATGAACTTATCGTCTTCTGTTTTTGAGATCTAGGGAATCAAATACGATTTTTTAAAATACAGTTTTAACCATTCTACCTCCAGAAAATAAATGAAGTGCAATGAATTGAAATGCAATTTGGTATAGGTAAGTTTATGAGAATGCTAAATACGCCACTGTTTAGTTTTTGATCATCTGATAGAGGTCGCTGACTTCTATGTGTTCTACTGATACCTTATGACATAACCTCAAAAAGTTGTAGCTTTAAATAACATGCACTAAAATAGCAATTAGAAATTTACCTGTAGCAAATTTCAATGCAATATACTATATTTTGAAAATGATATGGCGGAAATTCGTCATTAACGCCCTGTATTTAAAAAACAAAAGAGTCCATAAAAAATAGTGACTTATTTTTTATGTTTTATGGACTAATACTATTCATTATTAGAAAATTCATCTAGAATAAAACTGTTCTCCCCTAACTGCGTACTACCCCTTAAACTGGACTTACTTTTTCTCCAAAATAGCGTGACTATTAGCAAAACTAACACGAATATCGACAACATTATGGGTACGAAAACTTTGGCGTTGGTGTAAAAGGGGTGGTCTCCTGAGTGCGATACTGGCGGGGCTAATTCTGGAACAACTAAAGAATTCAATTAAACACCTGCTCCAATCACCTTTAATGTATAAAAAGCCTTACCACCTAATAAAGTTAAAGTTGTAAAGTTGTAGATGGCCTCCGTGTCGCCCGCGTTGTTGTGGGCGGTAATTTTCAGTTGGTATTCTGTAGCCGGTAGCAAATCCTGGATGCTGTATATCCTTTCGGTGGGCTTTACGTGATTGGAGGACATCGTCCAAGACGAGTGTCTGCTGGTCTTGTACTCTACTATGAAGTAGAGTATTCCACATCCTCCGTCGCCCCAGGAATCCAACCACACGGTGACTACTGTGGCGTTCATGGTCAGCATTTGGGACTGCTTTGGTTGAACAGGCACTGAAAAAATTGTTAGTTAAACACAATTTTAATTGTTACAACTTTGGTGATATCGAATCGCCATTATACTAACAGTAAAGTACTTACCAGTGCCTTTCGTGTGGGCAGGCACAATATCACTTGGAAGTCCCGTGCCAATCCTATTAAAAGCAGTGATATACAGCAGATATCTACTCCCACACCACAGATTCCTCAACATGTGCTCGTCCGTCCTCGCAGAGATCTGCAACTCCTCCCAATCCCCATGGTCTCTCTTGTAATTGATGACGTACCCCAAAATGGGCGAACCTCCATTGCCCTGGTCGCTCCACCTCAAGTGTAAGCTGTCGGTGAAGGACTCCACCACTGTCAGTACAGGAGCCTCTGGAGGAACCAACACTTTCAAACTGTACACTATTTCGTCCCTGCCGTGCTGGTTCTCCACGCTGCACGAGTAGTTGGCTTGGTCGACGCTCTGAATGTCTTTGATCACTAGAGTGGCGTTGGGTAAAATGGATCGGCGACCTCCCACCTCGAGTGGCAGGTCGTTCAGTCTCCAAACGGCGTTTGGAAGTGGAACGCCTACGCGACGGCAGTGAAGGTATATGTCTTGTTTCCAGGAGCNGTCATGTTTTGTAAAAAATTTAATTACAAAAATTTTTTTCCTCTTCCAATTTCGCCTAAAATCAACTCTTAAAAAGATACATAATTAAATAGGAAGTAAAAAATGACATTTTTCCAATTTTTTTAACATATTGTGCCGTCAAAAGTTAAGCCCACGTTTTATTTTATGCGCATAGAAAAATTTTCATTTCTAGTGATATTTGAAAGCCAAAAAGCCAAAAATCTACGTGGATATACGATTCACCCAAATATGGCTTTTTGAAACAGATACCGTCTGGACTAAATACAGTTTTAGCCATTCTACCTCCAGAAAATAAATGAAGTGCAATAAATTGCAATGAAATTTGGTATAAGTATGTTTATGAGGATGCTAAATACGCCACTATTGTTAATTTTTGATCATCTGATAGAGGTCGCTGACTTCTACTGATACCTTATGACATAACCTCAAAAAGTTGTAACTTTAAATAACAAATGCACTAAAATAGTAATTAGAAATTTACCTGTAGCAAATTTCAATGCAATATACTATATTTTGAAAATGATATGGCGGAAATTCGTCATTAACGCCCTGTATTTGAAAAACAAAAGAGTCCATAAAAAATAGTGACTTATTTTTTATGTTTTATGGACTAATACTATTCATTATTAGAAAATTCATCTAGAATAAAACTGTTCTCCCCTAACTGCGTACTACCCCTTAAACTGGACTTACTTTTTCTCCAAAATAGCGTGACTATTAGCAAAACTAACACGAATATCGACAACATTATGGGTACGAAAACTTTGGCGTTGGTGTAAAAGGGGTGGTCTCCTGAGTGCGATACTGGCGGGGCTAATTCTGGAACAACTAAAGAATTCAATTAAACACCTGCTCCAATCACCTTTAATGTATAAAAAGCCTTACCACCTAATAAAGTTAAAGTTGTAAAGTTGTAGATGGCCTCCGTGTCGCCCGCGTTGTTGTGGGCGGTAATTTTCAGTTGGTATTCTGTAGCCGGTAGCAAATCCTGGATGCTGTATATCCTTTCGGTGGGCTTTACGTGATTGGAGGACATCGTCCAAGACGAGTGTCTGCTGGTCTTGTACTCTACTATGAAGTAGAGTATTCCACATCCTCCGTCGCCCCAGGAATCCAACCACACGGTGACTACTGTGGCGTTCATGGTCAGCATTTGGGACTGCTTTGGTTGAACAGGCACTGAAAAAATTGTTAGTTAAACACAATTTTAATTGTTAGAACTTTGGTGATATCGAATCGCCATTATACTAACAGTAAAGTACTTACCAGTGCCTTTCGTGTGGGCAGGCACAATATCACTTGGAAGTCCCGTGCCAATCCTATTAAAAGCAGTGATATACAGCAGATATCTACTCCCACACCACAGATTCCTCAACATGTGCTCGTCCGTCCTCGCAGAGATCTGCAACTCCTCCCAATCCCCATGGTCTCTCTTGTAATTGATGACGTACCCCAAAATGGGCGAACCTCCATTGCCCTGGTCGCTCCACCTCAAGTGTAAGCTGTCGGTGAAGGACTCCACCACTGTCAGTACAGGAGCCTCTGGAGGAACCAACACTTTCAAACTGTACACTATTTCGTCCCTGCCGTGCTGGTTCTCCACGCTGCACGAGTAGTTGGCTTGGTCGACGCTCTGAATGTCTTTGATCACTAGAGTGGCGTTGGGTAAAATGGATCGGCGACCTCCCACCTCGAGTGGCAGGTCGTTCAGTCTCCAAACGGCGTTTGGAAGCGGAACGCCTACGCGACGGCAGTGAAGGTATATGTCTTGTTTCCAGGAGCTTACGACCTCGTGGCCGAAGGACGCTATCCTAGCAGGTACGATTTTGGAAGGTGTGACGGTTATTACTCTGGTGCTCTCGCCTTCGCCAATCTGGAAGGAAATTGAATTATATTATATCAACAATTCTTAGCTAGACTATACTATCTAGATTATAAAACTATGTTACTATTCAGTAAAGGATGGTGTCTCTAATTGCAAACGCCAAATTTTGTCTGCAATACTCCACGTTTGAGACACTTCATAAATTAAATAAATTTATATCTGTTTTCTCTACAGTCTACTGCAATTCTCCAGATCTGGATCTGATCATCAAGTTGGCAACATGGCCATAGGTAAGACGAACAACGAATTATTGAAGTATTTGGATGTTTACTTACCGACGTGTTTTGAGTGTGTTATATCTTAATTGTCATCACTTCTCAGTGCTAACAGCATCATTGATTTATATCTATTGGGTACACCTCACCCACAATCAAAACATCATGAATTGTGTAGTGATGAGAATTTATAAGCTCGAAATCGAGTATTTGGTGGTTTTACTAACGAATGATCTTAGTTGTTGACTAGATATTATACACGCAATTCAATGTTAGTCGTGGTTTTAGTCTGCAGAGTAGTTGTTTCCTAGAATATCAATAGCCTTGAATATAAATAGCAAATATGTGTGAAAATATGCGGGAGAATATGAGGATTGAAAAAAATATTTTGTTGTGGAAACAAGGTTTCTTTTACTTAATCTGTTATTTCTTTTTCCATAACAATTTAATAATAACATGTGACACATGCTGTAATTCCTATTGGCTCTTGGACCGTGTTCATTCACTCTCTTGGGGAACCAAGAAAGCACGAACTTTAAATTCATGTTTAATATTTCCTTCATATAATAGTTTTGTATCCGACCCAACACTAAACTATTAATTCAAAATTATATTTGCCGCCCAATGCAGAGTACTATATTGTGCAAAACTATACTTATCGTATCAACTTCGACGTCACCTGTTACGTGGGTATTGTATAATAATGAAAACGTAATATTGACAGTTGGTAGAAGGAAGCGCAAAAATAAACACTTAGGTGGGGAATTCTGGAAGGAAGCCTAAACAGTGTGGGGATGGGAGTAAGACGATCGGCGGGCAGTGTGGCAAAATAGTGAAAAATCAAAGTGTTTAACCCGTATTAATTAGCAGGTAATATAAGTACTTTGTTGTTAATTATTCTATGTAATCTTATGATTGTGATGATTATAGATGTTTAATGATAACAATGCTTCTTTGTATAATTAGTCTCCATTGCTTTATGTTCAAGGTTCAAGGGCATATATTTTTCTAAGGTAAAATTGTTATAATTATTATTAGCAATTGCTCATCATTTATTACAATACATACATGTTAAAATATGTGTATATTGTCGTGACTGCCCAGATATTGCATTAATAACTCCTTTGTTTCACATTTAACTTGTTTCATCATGATTACGTTGTTTGAAAAACAAATAATAAAGCGTTTCTTGTGCTCACTTTATGTCATACGCATATAAGAGCCTTGTTGAATTTACTAACATTTTCACCCGTGAGAAATGAATCTGTAAAAAGAATAATTAAATACAAAAAAATAATTGCTAAAACAGATCTTCCGAAATGTCAACTCATAGTTGGAATGCTGTATGGGACTCCAGTACCTTCCGGCCCTGCCGGCTAACTAACACCAAACCTCTTCAGTTTTACTTGGAAGTGTGTATGTCAAATTCGAGTGAGGTGACATTTAGTGAGACATTAAATAAGTCGGGTGTTATTTATCATTAGCAAAGGATTATCAATTAATTTATGCCCTTTATTGTCGGTTGTTTTGTGTTTATGTTTGGGTAGTTAGAACAACGATCGTGGGTTTCTCTGCCATGCTCTTTTCCCACAGGAGCTCTAGGTGAGCCTGGCACTCTCATTTTATGTTAAATGGTTGTTAATGTTTTTGCTGTTCTTTAAATGTGTCACATATTTAATTTAAAGACTGTTGTACGTAAATAATAAAGTTAGGTGTATTTACTCTGCTTTTGTTTTATAAACTTAAACCATACTTCCCCTCTTTAAAGTTAGTAGCCAGCGCCATCCGGTCAATTAAAAAAATAGATACATACAACGTAGGTATCCCTTATGACGATCACATATTTTTTTGCCACAACTACGTTTATATATTTTTTTCGATCTAACCCGGGGTTGTTATACTACAATATACTATTTCTTAATAAACCTATATCGCGCACTACTATTGTAAATAACATTATTTAAAATTGTGTTTTACAATATAACTAGAAAGGTCGGCAAACTCCGCTTGCGCGGAGCTGACCTTTCTCTCGGGCCTTCGGACCTCGGGCCGCGTTGCGCGCGGCATGGGCACCTCTGTGCGATGCTTTTCTCGCTGATTTAATTATCTTTGGACCGTTCGAAGTTCAACGCAGTATTTTTAGACATCCTGTGCATAAAAACCTATTTGAAAAGTTATATTTCCTTCCTATGGAAAGATTTAAAAAGAAAACTCCATAATGAAGGTAAAATACGGCAATAAGTAAAAAAAAAACATAGGGATCCCGTGCGAGATTCGAACCGTCAATCTCTTTGCAACGCGACACTTTTACCTGAGCTATCATTGCATCTGGGTAGAGTTTGTCCGTATTAGTATTTGAATTCCTGTTCATAGCCAAAGTAAACAAACACTTTCGTAATGTTAAAAATTTCATTTTTCTGCCGTAAAATCGTCCGCGAAGGATTCGGAACGGTATAAAACATAAAAATAATCGCTCATCGCCGTACTGATGACGTTTCTACCGCGGTGACAGTTTCTATTAAAATATTCTTAATTTCGTCTTATATTTTGTTACATTTGATTTAATAAAAGTTGATTGTGATATAGAAGAGGGAGAACGTTGCGACACGGCATCAGAAAAGCGTACCAGTCGCGTCGCCGGGTTGCGGGAGCTGATCGTACGCAAAGAGAAAAGTTTCAACTCCCTTTCGGAACAAAGCGCGAGTGCCGGCAGTATCACGAAAGGAAAATATGACGCCGCGAAAATTGCTTTTTGGGCGAAATAATCTGGGCTTTACGAAAATATTGGGATTTCGCGAGAGAGATGCAAGGTGCTGAACCTATTTAAAAAGCAAATTTCGGCGTTAAAAAGTAAAAAATATCCTTCGAAAACGTCCCGCGGAGACGTGTCTCTCCCACAGCGAAAATTTGCGTTTTTGTCCGTGGAGCCCCCGGAAAAGTGAAATTTCATTCGGAAGACGTTAAGAAATCGCTTTCAAAATATGCTAAACGGATAAAGGAAGGATGGCGGGGCCCTTTGGGCCCCACCGCTCGCCGCTGCGCGGCTTGCGAAGAAAGTCTTAGTATATGCAAAATGACTCTTTTTCGAGATCGGTGCGAGAGTGAAAACCACCTGCACAATTAATATATCGGAATTAACCTTAACATTGCAGACAAAATGATTGAAAAAATGAATGCGCGTGCCAAGTTGGGATCGACCAAACTTCTGCTAGTGACGTCAATGAGCAATGACGCGTCATATTCTAGATTATAATGATTGAGACGGACAATAAATAAAACATGGCCAGCGTTCCTGGCGTTTACTCAGAATCGCAATACTCACTCTAGTGGAGGCGGTAACCCAGAATTGAAGGGTGGCAGTTTCTTGGGCACGAATCACTTCGTGCATTTCGGTGGAGGGATTCAGAGCTCGCTTGTGGGTTCCTTCTTCTTGGCCGTCCTCAACGACACTCATATAAAATGTGTAGCCAGTTAGGGGACCGTTGCTGTACTTCGGGGGTAGCCATGAGACAAGGATCTTATTAGACGCACTTAAAACTGCTTTGATTTCGGCAGGAGCGGAAGGTACTGAAAAAAAATGCAAAAACTAAGGTTGAAGGACCTCGGCTGAAAAGTTTGGATTTACCGTCTTCTTCTGTTTGACAATACACAGGTGCAGATCTGACTCCGTCTCCGCTTGCGGTGTATGCTAGCACTGTTATGCTGTAGTTTGTGTATTTACGTAAACCGGATATGGTTGTCCTTAAGTGATTTACTATTTTGGTCTGTTGATCGTCATTGTCTGAAATAAGAAATATATATAGTTGTTTATTTATTATTTTAAAAGAAATTAAGTGTTTTGTTAAACTTTAACGTTAGCCTCCGGTGATGGTCATAACAACGCTAAAGATTAGCATTATTCAGTGTGTTTCAGATGAATGTACATATCTAGACCTATAAATGAAATCTTCGAATTTTATCAACGCCATCGACAAAAATCATCACGCTGATGATCAGCGGTTATGTAAAAGCTACCATTTGATCAGTGTCAACCGTTGACATACTGATGAACACCGTTCTGACCATCAGTGCTTGTGTGAAGTAATGTTTAAAAGATAATTTTTGCATGGCCGTTGACTACTTAATATGAAATCGAAAAAGTACTAATAGGAAAGAACGAAATTGTAATATGGTAAAGAGCCTAGAAAAAGTATGTATGATAAGCATCGAAAATACGAAAATTGATTATCGTGACAGAATATGCGGTCTCCAACCTTTGGCAAGATTTAAATGTCAACAGCTAATGAGAAGCATTTTTAAATTATTTTTCTACGGGATTGAAGGCACCCTCTGGAAAAGTAAGGCAGTTAATAATTACATATATTGGAAGTGTATGCAGATTTTTGGATAATGGTTTATATGTGTTCGAGTCGCGATGAACAAGAGATTAATGTGGCAGCATGGACAGCGGCATATTTGAAAAAATGCTTTGTATATAACAATTTTGCCTCACAGTGAACCTGGTGCATTGATTGCCATGGATAAAGTACCTTACCTTAATCGACCAATAGAAAAGATACCAATTTCTACATATTGAGAATAAAGACATGATGATATTAAAGGTACAACTATTACCAATTGAACAAAAAGAAAAAAATTCATTTATAGCAGATTGTCACCATGTCATTGTCAGCTGAACCTCATTGAACTAATAAATAAAAATTTATGTGGCATGAAATATCGCAACTTTAAACGAAGTTATTTCAAAAATTTCTATTTCGTGCCATATTTATATCGATCTTTTTCAAAACGTGAACGTGTTTTTATCTTATTTAGTGTTTTAGCTTACCAAACCATTCTCCCACAGAGTGAAAGGTAATTTTGTATCCCTGTATAATTCCATTTTGTCCTTCCACCAGTGGCGGCTCCCATGATATGTGTAAACTTTGAGCAGTAAGAACGGAACATTGCACATTCTCTGGAGGTAGTGTAGGGGCGTCTTCTAAAGTTCTCGATGTTACTGGTTCACTTGCTGGCCCAGAACCCCTGCTGTTATAGGCCTGAAAATCAGTTACTATATTGTTGATAACCAATTAATTTCCGCAGGAAATGCACTAAAAGTGTTATATACAATCATGGACAAACATTTTAAAATCCTCATAATACGACAATAGCAAAAGACTACAAACAGATTAGTGCGGAAATATTTTATTGCTTTCAAAGCAAAAAAGGGATCGTTACTTGTATGTTTTTATTTGATTTAGTTTTTTTTTATCTTTACATTTGTTTGAATCAGTACAGAAACATCAAAATATTTCAATCAGATTATCTGGCTTAAATACTTTGTTACAAAATGTTTGCTGCATTCAGAGGTGCACATATTTTCTTAGTAATTTACTTTTTGGTTTGCAGGAATAAGAATACTGAGGAACAGCGTATATTTTTCGTGGTTTCGTGCAATTTTCTAGTGTATATTGCATTTCTTAAACTAAGTTAAAGCAACCTTAACATTATGTACAACTAGAATAGTTGGAGGAGGCGACAAAAACGTACAATATTATACTATACATTAAATAAAAAAATAATTATGTTGCTAAAATGGGATGTGCCGCCTTACCTGCACAATTATACTATACGTGGTGAATTTCGCCAGTCCCTGTAATGTAGCTTCTCCCCCATAGTGGGGCCTCACTTCGACGCTCTTAAAAACGTAACTTTGCGAAACAGCGTTTGTGTCCTCGCCAGAATATTCTTGGTAGCCTACATGGTAACCCAGTAAGTTTCCATTCCATGTTTCCCTAGGTGGAGGCTCCCAAGTAACAACCAGTTCTGTAGAACTCTTCGCTTCCGCCCTTATGTCTACAGGAGCACCACTTGGCACTAAAATATTCATATATGTTAATTACTTTTACTCCTATTAGGCATGCTGTCTCTGCATGCATTAATTATACGACTGTACAAGCTGTTTTTGTCTGTGCCTTAGGAGCAATAACCGTCTTTGTGTTAGATAAGTTCGAGAGAGTCTTCATTCAGGTTTCGTATGGTTCAAATTATGTCTCTTCTCTAATGTATACAGTGTGTTCCAAAATGATGAAACAAAATTCACATTTTTTCCAGTTGAAATTTAAAAAAATCGCTGAAACGGGTCAATTGGTAAATTGAAATTGTCACTTTTCTGCAATATTTTCTATTTTTTTGAGCCATGTTTGGCAAACATTACTAGAAAAAAAATATGAATTTTATTCCATCAATTTGGGACACACTATAAGTACACTTATTAAAAAAAACATTGATTTTCTTTGGATACCATAGGATTAAAATACATCCATAGAATTGAGATCTGGTAATCCTGTTGGCATTTTTTTATAAATTGAATGGATGGGTTACTCAAAATTGAAAATTCTAATATTAATCTTAAAGAACCTGAAAAAATCAGTCTAAATTGCAGTAGTTTTTATCGGTAACAGTTTGATATTTATACCTAGACAATTTTTTACTTTTCTAAGTTTCAACAGGGTGTTTACAAACTTATTATTAGATTATTTTTTAACAGAAGACAATCTGTTCACAAATTAAAAATTCATGCTTACCTTCCTCGAGGGTGTTAACTTGCACGGTCTGGCTGGGTTCGCTGAGTCCTAAACGATTCTCCGCTAAAACCCTCAAGTGATAAACTTGAGCTGGACGCAGATTTTGTAACGTAGTAGTTGTTTGTGAGCCGGGCACAGTTACCTTTAAGGGTTGGTTTGGCCATGCTTCTGAAATTCCATAAACTGTTAATTTTCAAAACATAATAAAAATAAAAAAATGAAAAGGTCTTGTTTTGGAAATCTAAAATAGACTTAGAAGACAAAGGCGTAGGAGAACTAGGAAGTACTGGAAAAAGTAGTTATATGATGATTTCATAAATCTGAAGCACTTTTTCTGAAAAATAGTTAAAACAATGCATTAAAAAGGAAGTGACTAAGTTAATACTTCAAAAATTCGTTATCACAGTTTGAAAATTTGCCTTTAAGTCAAGTTTAAATTTATTTTTATTCACTTTCATTGCTTTTATTACTAGATTTTCATTATATGTTATACATTTAATTATTGGTTATATATACAGGGTGATTCAGAACTTATCAAAAAAAAATCTGGATGTACAGGGGACCCTTACAAATACAATTTTGTAAATAAAAAATCAAAAAGGACAGTTCGAAAATGATTTAAAAGTACACTTTCGCACAGCACTGGAAACTGATCCACTGTAAAACCTAACCTCGCACAATGCGACCGGCATGGTGGTGTGATAAAAACGGATAAAAACTTTCACACGGAAAGAAATAAATAGAATTTTATAGCACCTATTTTATATCGGCAAATTCAACTGCTTTTGCCATTATTAATTAATAAAATTAATTTGTGAACAACTGTTCAAAATTTTATCCACGTGTAAACACATTTGGGTCCGTCTTACTCAGTTTCTACGAACTAACACAAATGTTGTCCTGCTTCACCATAACACAAATGCTTCACCATAAATTAAAACGATATCCCATCAACTCCGAATTGCTATACACTCAAACCATTTTTGACATTAACTACCCATTTTTGACACTAACTACTAAAAAACCATTGTAAACACCACAGATAACAGGTAAATACTATTGCAACGACGATTGCAAAATCCGATTAGTATTCGGAGTCGTTGAGGCCACGTGGCTCTCCAGGCGCATTGCGAATGACGCTAGAGACTACAGTTGTCCAGCTATGTAGTCGTTGAATGTACTATAAATTCAATAATTTTTTTTTCTCGGAAACAATAAGGATTTTACAAATTTTTTTTTACGATATTAACTCTATTTCTCATGCCGCATCTATTCCCAAATTTTTTTGGATAAGTTGTGAATCACCCTGTATATTGTTATTGGAATAACAATAACAAGGTTTAAAAGTCAAGTTAAGGATTTGAATTGTGCGTCATTTTCATTCCGAAGAGTTGGCAGTATTGTGTAGGATCATATGTTGTAGTAAACACTGCGGTTAGATAAAAATGGAGCGCTATATGACGGACGAGCGAGTGAAGATTGTGAAAATCCATTACAAGTACGGAGAGTGTGTAGCTGAGATTGTGCGCAAGTTACGTGGAATTTTCAGTCCCGAATGAAACAATTGTGAAAAAATTTTAACAAAAGATCTGCATCTGTATCCATTCAAGAATTAGCTAACCCAGAAAATGAAACCAGACGACCATTTAATGCACCGGACATTCGTTGATTGGATGTTGGAGAATTAACAAGTGCAAACCATCTTTAGCGACGAGGCGCATTTTCATCTTAGTGGATAATGTGAATAAGCAAAAGTTTCGAATTTAGAAGCAATTCAAATAAGAGTTCATGAGTTTATATGACAATTCTACTCATATACAGGGTGTATCGCATAAGAACCGACACAGAGCAGGGGCATGTAGGAGAACCTTACCTTTAACTAAGTTGCACCCCCAAGTTATAGGCCTTGAAAGTGAGGTTTCAAATTTCGAAAAAAATTTGAATTTAGAAAAACCAAATTTACATGGTGTGAGTGTACCAAGGGCATTAATCGACAGTAAATAGAGTTAAATTGAAGCATTTTAAAGGGTTGATAAGGGATGACGCACCATGAAAATGCGATAGAATTTTTTAACTCGTTGGCGGACTTAAAAATTACTACTTAATTTTATGGGGAATTTAATTCTATAGGGCAAGCATAAGTTAAATGTATTCTCTAGATAATGGAGAATGCAATAGCTTGAGATTATCACATACCTGCTCCTGGCTTATACTGCACAATATAGTTCGAAATGGGGCTGTTCCCCGCGTACGGCTGCGTCCACGAAATCCCAATCGACCTCGACAGCTGATCCATAACTCTGACATTCCTCGGAGGCTCTGGAATTTCTTGGACGATCAGCTGAATATTCATATCATCCTTTCCGTACGAGTTTGATGCTGAGCATATGAAAATTCCGGTGTCCTGCCTGATTGTTCTTTCTATTCCTAACTCGGAAACCATCCCTTCCGCCAGGGTCTGCTCACGAATGGTATAACGTTGATCGGCGTCCTTGGATATTTGCTGCCCTCCAACCTTCCAGGTTATTTCCATGGGTGTATCTCCCAGAGCTGAGCATTGCAGATGTGCTTGGTCTGCCTTGACTACTTGGATTTGCTTCGATTTTTGGGGAAATCGGGCAGGCGCTAGAAATGTTCAGTTAATTTTTTTATACTGTAGTTATACATACATAGGAGGGTATTTTCAAAAGCAATAAGTTTAAGATTTTGTGACATTTAATGAAATTACAAATGCTGTGACTATATTTTACTCAATATAGGGTTTTCCAAAACTCACACTGTTACAACCTTTGCACACATGCCGGAACCGGCTAACCGGATCCGCTTACCCGGCAGCAAGGTGTACAGAGTCTTTATTGACGCTTTCACACTTGCCGGATGATTGCCGGATTCAGTCGTCCGGTTTCATTGAACAGAACAGGACGTGTCAATTATTTTTTTAAATATTTGTACGCAACTATATCGAATGTTTGTTCTCTAGAAGTAGATATTGCATTCTTTATATCAGACATGTCCAGTGGGACAAAAATTTAGCTTTTTTTCATATTTTTTGGAAGTTTTTTATATTTTTTGTTTTTTTTTATTGCGACGACATCGGCAACAGCCAAGCCACATAATTGCAATGCGTCTACGATCCATCTCTTGTCGTGACAAAAATGCAACTGAGACGAATATCGGCCAAACCAGTTTGAAAATTAAATTACGTGTGAAAGAGTCAGCCGGATCCGGATAGCCGGTCCCGCAAGTGTGTAACGAGGCTTACACTAACAATTTTACTAAATCAGAATGAATCGTCTGTTAGTAGTATTAGTTTTTTGAAAAAGAATAGATGGCATTATTACATAACCTCAAATATGACGAAAAACAGTGTTTTTTGCACTTTTAGGTTAGGATATCTGACGTGATAGAGCAATTCTGCGTCCAGATTCGGATTCAGCGCACCAACATTTTTCGGGAATGCATATTAGTGTGTCTGCTTCTTGACCTTTGTTGACACGTGTTATTTTTCTCGAATAGAGGTTTAAGAGTTCAAATGCGAACAAAAGCTCGCAACTACGCCATTGCTTTTAACTGATTGGTGCCTTTATTATAATTGTTGTGTATTAAATTTGAACAAAAATAAAACATTCCGTGGCAGGTGTCAATGGTTAAACAACCTATAGTCACATCGTCGCGTCGCTTTAGGTTTCTTGACGTTTCGGGAGACATATCATTCTCTTCTTCAGAAGAAACTCTGAAACTGGAGATTAAGTCTTCTGGCTGGTATTTATATTTACTGTGGGCACTGGTACATGTCGTTCCGTTGTATGGCTTTTAATCATTGGATCGTGTCGTTCTGGTTCTTGATTTTTGCAGGTGCAAGGTTTAAAAGAATAACGACGTAGAAAAATCAGAAGTTGTGAAACACAGAGAAGGTTCGAAACATGTGACAGGCCTTGCCAATATCAGAATTCTAGTGGGGGGAGAGAGAAAGAAAAGATTTCGACCTAGACTGTACAGAAATCAAGAAGAACAGAGATGAATGGTTAGGTCCGTTCTGATGTTGATTTCGGTTCTTGTCGTTATTTTTAAGATTGCTATGTTGGCTCCTCAGATAATGGTGGTCCTCTAACACGTTCTGTCTTTGTCACTGGTGACGTCCAATGTTTCCAAACGTTTCACCATTCTTCTACTGTCAGCATCTTCAGCAGTGGCTCCTCAGATAATGGTGGTCCTTTAAGATGTTATGCAGTAGCCTTTGTCACTGGCGACGTCCAATGTTTCCAAACGTTTCACCATTCTTTAAAAGCTCCGCTGCGACTAGAATCATTTGGGGCCGCACCCCATCGTGTGTCTCCACGCCTGCGCAGTAGGATAGTTGATATTGCTTCAGGCTTGTGCAGTGGTGTACAACGCATTCTCTCTTCGCACCGTTGTTTCCTCCTTAGAAGAGGTAACCAGGTGTTGTTTATCCAAAAGCTTTCATCACGATTCATACCATTTCGATGTTGTTCCATTTCTAGTAATTCTCATCTCACCAGTTTGCAAAATTCTGTTTTACAACCACCACGGTATCTTCGAAATTGATTGTACGTCCTTCTTCTAACGTACGTTGGACAATATCTGATTTCTCAGACTGTTGAGCCTTAAGGCTCTTTTATCTTCCTTTTTTCTTGTAATAACCGATCCCTTTGTCATATCTGTATAATCCTACTCACATTAACATGGTATGTGGTGTTATGGGTACAGAGGGCAAGCGGGTCTTTTATTGACCTTGGACTTTTCGTGTAGGGACTGTTGGACTTTTCGTGTAGGTAAGAACCTTATACTCTTTCTCTGGTAATACGGTTTGTTACATTATGAATGTAAAGCGAGCATGCTACCTGCTGATGTATTCTTGTGGATTCTGTTCGTGGTCCTCTAGTATTGATAACTTGTTTGATATCCCAATTTGAGCCTAGCTCTGTTGACTATTGTTTTCATTACAGTCCGTTTTTTGTACTAGGTATTGGTTTAAATTCGCTTATCGATATTTATCTTTGATGGTGGGTTTCCTGTAGACACTGTAGGCCAACTGCCGGTTATTTCTAGTTACCAGGTTATCTAGAAAAGCCAACTGTTCCCCCTTTTCTTCCCTCATACTGGATAAAATATTTGGATGATGGGTTACGGCCGAGCGATATCAAGAAGCCTAATGTGACAACGTGGCAAGTAGTTTGGAAATTGTCGAACCAAAATATTTATTTGTAGGTAGTAAGGAAATCAAAATTATTTGTTATATTATTATTTTCATGTTGTATTGTTAACCAAAGTTATATATTAATATAACAATTAACCGCACCGCTGACTCATACTATTGACACAATTATAAATTATATTTTGTGGTAGTTGTTGCCATTCTTCTATGGTAACTTGTTCTAACTAACCGACAATGGCTGGGATACATATAAATGCGTCTTTTAAGAACATTCCATATATGCTTTAAGGTTAGGATTAGATGACCATGAAATAGAATTTATACCATTTTCGTGTTGCTTAATTATGGTACTCAGGCTTGAATCTATCTGTTTGACTACCGTTCATTCATAAACGCTGTGCAAGGCTGTATAGTCCAGTCGACAGAGGCCGAAAAGTTACTGTTGGTGACATTTTCTTGATAACTCGGAAATAACTGCACAGGAATACTTTAAAAAAAATCATGTCCTAAGCATTTTTTCGTACAAAGTCATCCCGCTGAGTTATTTAAAGAAAACTACTAAAAAATTGTTTTCACGATTAAATTGTTAATATCTTTTTTTCCTGATAAAATACTTTGTCAGCAAATTAGCCTGTTATTGTACTCATCATTTAAAGTAGGCCTGTGTAGTTATTTCTGGGTTATCAAGGTTTGATACAGACCGAACCTCTACCAACTGGACTAGTAAACTTTTCTAGCTTTCATCAACGTTCTGTAGCTTACGATGTTTCAAACTGTCATGATTTTTGCACTTTTAACCCTGAACGAAGTCGCTCCATGAAAGAAAAAGCATAAAAGTTTTGATTGGAAATGATTCATCCACATATTTGAACGATCATAGAAACCTTAGAAAATATTTTATAAAAAAACAACTCTTGTCGTTTTAAGTTTGCTTGACGCGAGGAATCAGCTCTGAAAATTTGTTGCAACGACGCAAATATACCCTGCAGAAAAAAGTGTGGTACCTTCAATGGATAATGTCAAAATCTTACCTAACAGATTATCTTGAAATATTATCATTTTGCTATTATCTTTTGAAATATTCTACTAACCATTTGAAGGAAAAAATCAATGCAATGATAACATTACTTACACTACTCTACTTGTTACTCTCAAAGTGTGGTACGTTGCAAAATTATAAAGTTAATATGTTGAGCATATAGTTTTATAGTCACTTTCTATTTTTTGATCGTCATATCCATACCTTAGTCATATCACTCACGATTATTTTTCAATTCTATGCGGCATTTGTTTTGGAATATAAACATATTTTGAAAGTTTTCCTTATAAGGAATTTTTTAATGATATATTGTACCCATTCTTACGGATTCAAAGTGTATCAAAAACTGTAATTATTTAAATGTTGATCCAAAAGGGGAGTAGTACTAAATAGATTAGAGAAAATTGTTCAATTTTATTCTAAAATATTATTTTCTGACAATTATTTATTAGATGTAGCTATTACCATTAACTCTTAAAAAAATAACTTTGCTAACTCCTGCTCCGATGTTGTTCTTGGCTTCGCAAAGATATTGTCCCTCGTTTTCTTTCGAAATATGCATAAAATTCAGAGATCCGTTTTGATACTGTTGGACATTCGGTTCGAAGAGGAAGTCCTTGTACTCGCCAGGTTGTTCACCTAAAAAAACATCGTGTTAGTGTACACTGCAAGTAAAGTACGGAAACTGAGTTTTTAAAAATAAATAATTGTATAATTGTTTTATTTCTACAAGTTGTTCACATTCACGCAGTGTTTTTTGTGATTAATGCTACAGCTCATATAAAGGATCGGATTAAATGAAGCTATTGTAAAGGAATTTGTCATTATTACTTTCAGTCCATTTATATTATTCCCACAACTCCGATGTATGATAAACTTTCACTAATTTTAAACTGTTTCTCTTCTGATATTCTCATCTTCTATGAGTCTTAAATATTGCCTTAAAAAAGTTGAAGCTCAAATCCACTAGACTTGACAGCTTTCTAACATTTCTCTTTAAAGACTTTGTGTTTTATGAAGTTCTCTTGCCGAACGGCATGCCTTTTATCCAGATAGATCAACTGTTACGAATTTGATGTGTCTGGCGCAAAACACGCAGATTTTTCTAAAACTATCAGGAATAACTAAATGGTTTCTTTTACTTCCTGTTGATAGTTATGGAAAGTTACAGTGTAGTATCGTAGTTTTCAATCAATATATATCAATGCTACTTCTGGAATTCCTCAAGGATCGATCTTTCGACCACTGATACTACTAAATTTTATAATCGATATTATCTTGATCCTGAATCGCGAAATAATTCTTTATACAACAATCTGAAATTGTTTCAGTTTAAGTCAGAAATTAATGATTGCCTTCATCTTCAATCAAGTTTTTAATTGGTGCTACTAACTCTTAATTTCTCGCAGTATAACCATTTTGCTAGGAAAGGTAGTTCTATTACATTTAATTACAGCATTGGACATAAGATAATTAGGACAATGCAGCAGTTTCAATTACCTTGAAGTAATTCTTGATAGCAAATTCAGTTTAGAATGATGTAGGTACTTGTTAAAACAATGAAACCAATTCCGATGATCCAATTGACGATCAGTGAGATTATGCTACATTAGCATTGGAAATGCCTAAAGAGGATGAAACATTGGCCAATTACTGACACTTCTGATTGTAATTGGTAAATAATATATTCTTATATATTATCTTCACAAATTGCATACTACATACTAAAATAGGAATAATAAAAATACAAACTAAAAATGTAGGTCCCTGTGGGTTTTTAAAATATTATTGTCCTTCAGATCTGTTCCACAAAGAAAATTTACCAATCATTATAATCAGCACTGTCAGTAACTGTAATTTTTCATCATATTCGGGCGTTTCCAATGTCTTCAAGATTTATAAAATGAAACAGAAACAATGTATTTAAAAATTTAAAAAAATGTGTATTACAAGTTGCTGAAATTTGAGATACTAGACTGTTGGATACTGGATATAAGTAGCTAAGATCATTCGTCAGCATAATCACCAGATATCCAGGAAGTAAATGATAAGTTTAGCCAAACTTTAATGGCGTATTCTTCCAATGAAAATAATCAAAATTTGCCCTATAAAAATTTTTGATAGGACGGTCCCCTACGGAGATACAGGGTGTTAAAAGTTTCAAATATTTAAATTACTTTTTTTATATTTTGAACATTTCTTGTGATGTTGTGTAGTGTTTTGAAATCTCTCAAAAATATTAGGTATTGAATTTATTGTTACACATTTAGCAATCAATAAAAAATGGCAACGTAGGTACTTAAGTATCTTCTTATTTGATTTCGCAATTATTATCTAAAGACTAGTAAATTTTACGAATATTTTACAAGAATACTTTATTGCCACAAATTGATTGTACAATTTAAAAACATTTAAAATTATTTAAAAAGTCAGTGTCGTACGATTTTTTTTTCAAAAAAGGTCCCCTACTCCCCCAATAGCTACGCCACTGGAGTATTTATATTTTGGAATAAGTTATCAATGAAAAAATAGTCCCTGCTAAAAAAATGTTATCCCCCAAATTTTATCAATCAATTTTTTTTGCCAGTGAAATTACAGGAAAAATAATATTAATATTTGAAACTGTTAACATCCTGCATCTCCATAGGGAAGTGTCCTATAAAAAATTTTTATAGGGCAAAATTTGATTATTTTCATCGGAATATGCCATTAAAGTTTGACTAGACTTATTATTTACACCCTGTATATCGGTTTTGCATTTATTAGTTCTCATTAGTTGAATATACACGCAAAGACTTATTGGAGCGATAAATTGTAGCAAAAAATCGTCAGATAAATCGTTAAGAAAAATCTTTCAGATAAATCTTAGAGAGGACACTAATGCGAAGTTTTATTGAATCGAATTATTGTACAAAGTTTATTTGACAGTTTATACGTTACGTCTCACAGTGGTCGGAATTCCGAAAAAGCTGGACAAAAGTCGAAATTTCAAAGTTGTTTAATACTTCAGAATATTCTATAGAAGGAGTCACTGCGTAGTTCTTTAAAGTGACAGAGAGCTGGCCCAAGTGTATAGACACAGCAACTATCGGAAGTATGCTGCGACACATTAGCATATTTCACTTGCCACTGACCCCTCAAAAAGCGGTGAATTGAAAATACGTGCAAATTTTTTCTAGAGTACGAATCGTTGTGTGCAATAGAGAGGGTGTTCCTGGAGTTAAGTTTGCTCATTTAGAACCTCATTTTTCGAAAGTTGCATGTTTTTATTGTTTTAACAAAAACGTCTTGCAATTTCCATCGATTTCAAATCACATCAATCGTAAATTATCGAAATAGTTGTGATCCCAAGAGATCCTGCACTATTAAAAGTTGGAAAATGCGGACAGGAGTGTCAATTTCATATATCAGAAGAGAAAACCACCGGATTTTTCCGGATTCGGGTTCCGAGTCATTTTTTATGCCTCCGTGTACGGCCGATTTACTATTGTAAAAGGCCTTAGTTATACAATAGCTAGTGTTTTAGTGTCTCTTCGCGTTCCGAAAGAGCGTTTCTAATTCAAATTGTTTTTTTTTTTATGAACGTGCACCTTTTTCGTGTGCCATTTATTATATTTTTACAAGCTTTTATTTAACTTGCCTTGTTAGTATGGGTCAAATTTTTTGCAACTGAATTTTAAAACAGTTTCCCCAACCGATTGAGCTGAAATTTTGCATACACATTTAGTTTGGATGACAATGCATGGTTAGCTAAGTGACGTCATTCTAAATCCAATATGGCGGACTCCCAAAGATGGCGGACCAATTATTTTTTATGCACCCTCATGATATGGGTATCAAATGAAAGGGTTTGCTGAGATAAATACGAAAATAAAATGAAGTCACTAAATGCTTGCTTTTAAAAAAAAAATTATAGATGAACTTATTATTTATGATATTTCACCAGAAAAATTACTTGAACGAAAAAATAAATTTTTCGATTTTCGAAAGGAGAATTCCAAGAGAATTTAGAAACGCAAATCATCATTTTAGATCAACCTTTTTTAAAAAGGTGCAAGATAGATGAAAATGAGAAAAGCTTGTCAAGCGAAGCCATGGTGATATTATTTTCATGCTCTGACGGTTATGTGATCTGTGACGACGATGCGAATGACTCATGTGTATTAGAATTAGCTAAATAATTAGAATAAGCTTTATAACAAGAATAAGCTTCAATAGTATTTAGAAATTATTTCGTTTGAAAAGACGAATTCATTCCATATACATACCTTATGTCGCAGATATTTACCTTTCGTACTTTATTAATAATAATTAATTACCTCAAAAACCGCAAACTCCGACCTTACATACGTTTTACGCGACCCCAATACCAGAGACACTCGAACTTAGATTCAACAAATTAACGTGATATATCGGCTATTTTGAATTTGAGATTTTTTACTCCAAATTCGGCTTTAGCGACCTGAAAAACATGTCTCAACTTTTGGTGATGATGCAAGCCTTTTTGGACTTTTGTCCAGCTTTTTCGGATTTCCGACCACTGTGCGTCTGTGTCATTCACAAAGATTTATCTCTAAATTTGGTAAGATTGTTCTGTCATCGTTGATCTTTCGGAAGTCCAAAAAATCAGAGCAATTTATTTGTTACTCGTAAGTGTAGTTGGCTTGAGTGTTCTACGAAAACATGAACAAAAACGACTTTAAACGCGTTTTATTACTTGGAATTATGGGTTATGTGATTATAAAACGACGCAGAAGAAATAAAAAGCGAACAAAGTGGGTTAAAACATGGTTATTGTGGAAATAATACAATACGCCACTAATTCCTTATAACACTCGTTTTTATTATTTTTATTTGTATTTTCTGGTGAGGTTGTTTTCCATAAACACGGGTGATTACGAAATAAATCGATCAGTCCAGTAATAAATTCTTTTGATGCCATATTTAAATTTGTAGTATGTTCTGAACTCAAGACAGAAATTAACCGATTTTACATATCGCGCAGATATTTCCTCCACTTTCCTTCCCACTTTCATTCCGAAGAATTGGCGGCATTGTGCGGGGTCACATGTTGTAGTAAACACGTTGTGGTTAGACAGAATGGAATGTTATACGACGGATGTGGCAAGTGGAGTGAAAATTCATTATAAATACGGACAGTTTGTAGTTGAGACTGTGCGCAAATTAAGTGGCATTTTCGGTAGAAGGAAATTTCATATTTAATGGCAATGTCTACCCCTTAACAAACTGTAATTTTTTTTTATTTATAAAATCTTTTTTCATCGAATGAAATCCTGCGTTTTCTTTGGGACCCTTTATTTGCTACTCACGTATTTTGGATGAGATGTAACATACAAATTACGTCATTGCTACTCAATATCTACTGGCACCAAGCATTAGGTTTGTTCGCAGAATACAATTTCCAACCGATTGTCAATTTTTCACTGCGCATGTGCGACGTCAAACTAATTTCCGACCGATTTCAAAATGCTGGAGTGAATCGTGACTGAATGATCATAACCTATAAATATTTATTTATTTCAAATTTATGTTGACGACTTATTTTGAACAGATTCATCGTCTATTTATTTGTCACTTACTGCGCATAGTGCGCATGTCCGAAACCGAAAATTTGTTTGGGAGTCAGCGGATTATTTTGATGGTTGGAAACTAGTCCACAACTCATAAGTTTTGTTCTGCGAACATCAAATTTTTAGTCAGGAGTCACGGATTATCGCTGTGCGAACGCTTTTGACCTATCACGCATGTGTCATACAGTTGCTGATAGTTTCTGACTGCTGTACGAACAAAGCCAAATTGATTAACAATGACATATAGAATATGATTATATAATTCATTAGAAATTTAGCCAATAGCAATTACAAATTTTACGTAGTTACTATGTATTGATAAACGATTATACTCTTGACGACGTGGTATAACCGTTTTGGTGTTTCGCCTCCTCCAACAATGTGAACTATGTCATGGTAACGATAGTTTTAACATTTGTCAATAAACGTCAAAAAAAAAAATTTAACGCTTCGGTTCAAGCTCTGAATTATATAATCGTATCGAATACCACTCGAGCAAACGAAAATATTCGATTATACTAACCTCCTCACTCGACGTATATCCTTAAAACACCACTCCAGCTACGCTGTCGTGGTGTTTCGCAGAATACGTCTCGTGACTCGGAAGTACAATCGAATATTTTCTATGCTCTTGTGATATTATAACTGTATATATCTCAGCCACAACAATGTATATTCTCTTCTTTTTCTATACTGTTGATTGAAATGTTTTGGAATACGGATTGTACGGATTGTTCCGCATCTGCCAAAAACAAATCAAAGAAGCCTTAACAACTAATTACGTAATTACCAACAGCCTTCTTCCACGTGATAACCGGCTTGGGATACCCCTCCGCCTGGCAGTGGAGGATGGCTTCCTGTCCAGACGCCACGCTGGAGTCCGTCGGCTCCACAGTCCAACGCGGCGGAACTGAAAAACAAACGAATTAACTATTCCGATTCAAGCGAGCGAAGAATTCGATTACCTACCGTTGACGGTGAGGGGAACGACGTACTTCTCCGAGCCAGCCACGTTGCCCGCGACGCAGGTGTAATTTCCGCTGTGGGAGGAAGTCACCTGATCGATAATTAGCGAGGACGCGAACTCGTCGATCCGCCTTATGACGGTGCCGAGGGCCGCGTTGTTGGAGACCACCTTCCCGTTCCGCTCCCAGCGAAACGTGATGGGGAGGTCGCCCTCCATTATCTGGCAGGTGATAGCGGCCCGCATGCCTTCCCGCAGCAAATCCGTCATCGGATTTATCGGGAGGATCTTCGGCGGCACTGGAACGGTTCACGCAGGTTATGAGATTAGTGTCGGAAATATCGACATAAACATTTAAACAAGGGTGTATATATAAATAAATTTAACCCTGAAGTTTTGTCACAGTATAATACAAATCAGCAAGGATCAGTGACGTCAATAATATTTGAAGAATTTCTCCATATTGTCCTTTAATTTTCCGCCTTTTCCTTTTAGTACAGTCATTGAAACTTTTCACCTCCAAATTCTTTGAAACTGAACCGATCGACTTGAAATTTGGCAGATAGTTAGAGAAAAGGTCAATGAACATTAGTGACATAGCGCCGATTGACGCATCCATCCTGTTGGGGGTTGACACCCCTTCTCGGGGGTGGACATTTTTTTTTCAAAAATAACGCTGGAAATCTATAGATTCAAATTTTGACCAAAAAATATTCGAAGAATTTTTTCGAGAAATAAATAGTTTTTTAGTTATTCACGATTGAAAACTTTGAAATTTGAGTGAAAAAAACACTTTTTCAAGGTATTTTTCACGAATAACTCAAAAACTACGCATTTTATTAAAAAAAAGTGCAATTTACAAAAATGTAGCATATAAATAAACAAAGAAAATCGTTTTTAAAAAGTGTTGTACGTCCATACAAAGCGAAATATGGTTATTGGAAGGGGACTTGGTTTTGGGGAGAATACTCGAATCGATGTATTCAACGTCAAATAACGGAAAAAGGATTAATTTTACGTGTATAACGCCCCTGGAGTTTCTTATAGTACTCAAAAAGACCTTCAAAATGAGTACTTATAAAAGTTAATTAGAGCAAAATTGATGGAGTTATCGTCAAAAACAGATGGGTTGTTCATACTTTTTAAGGAAAAATGAGCAGTAAACGCTGTACCATTTCCATCAGAATTAAAATTAATCGTAGACCCTTTACAATGCGTATTATTTGAATAATGTACGGTAAAAGTTGAAAACGTATTTTTCATTATTCAAAAAAAATTGCCTTATTTATATGATAACTGAAACGATGAAAGATACGTAAAAAATGATAGACAACAAAAATGTAGCTTTTTTTTCAACAAATATTTTGCTTTTTTTATTCCTATAGAATAAAAAATAAAGGAGATATCACCGCTTGAAGTATCCATTTTAGTGAAAAAACGACCTGTTTCAAGCTTTTCGATCCTTTCCCTTTAGAAAACGAAGGACATAAAAGATTTTATATGCAAACGATCTTACAGCTCTTGAAATTATCTTTAAAATGCTATTTTGTAGGATACTATAGCTTCAAAATTAACCGAGTTATGGTAAAAAAACCAATGACATTTTTTCGGAGCAAAATAGGATTTCTCATTTTTATATGTTATATTATATATTATACAAATAAAATAAGTAAAAAAATTTAGTGTGATTATTTATATGCAGCGTAGCAATTTTTTTATGATTGATTATATTTAAAAATCGATTATAATAAAAATATTTTACATTAATATTGGTAAAAGGGTAGTTTATAAGAGTTGAAAATGGCAAAAGTAAAATATTCTTTCATAAACAATATAAGGGAATTTTTATTTTAAATTATTGCACAATTATAGCATTCCAAGATTTAAAACGTAATTTTTTATCATTTTTTTAGCACAGGGGTGATTTATAAGGGTTGAAAAGTGTTATGAGATACAAATTCTTTCATAAGCAATGAGGGAATTTTTATTTTAAATAATTGCACCGTTAAAGCATTCCAAGCTTTTAAAAAGTAATTTTTTATCATTTTTGTCAATACAGGGGTGGTTTTTAGGGGTTGAAAGGGAAAAATTCTTTTATTAGCTATAAGGTAACTTTTATTTTAAATAATTGCACGATTTAATCATTCCAAATCTTTAAAAAGTAATTTTTTATCATTATTTTTTGCATAGGGGTAGTTTTTAAGGGTTAAATAAAGGGTCGAAAAGATCAAATATATCATAAAACATGTTCGAAAACATGGAACATTATTTAATCTTTGTGCTTGAACAAGATTTTTCTCAATAAAATGCTTAAAACTTAATTTTTTCAATTTTTTTCACTTAGGGGTAGTTTTTACCTCTAAAAAACAAAAAGTGTCAATCGGGCTTATGTCACTTTTGAACTTGAGCCTAAGATGAACCCTATTCTAAATTTTCATGCAAATCCATGCAGTTTCAAAGAATTCGGAGGTTACAGCTGATTTTCAGCTTCTATTTGTGGAATGGCACATGCAAAAATATTAATAATATATTATATACAGGGCGATTCAGTCATAATATTATTCAATTTCAGGGAAGATAGGAGAAAATTAGTTGAATTTAAGGTGAAAATAAAATTTTCAAATTATTATTTACACCCCATTTTGGGTCGCTCCTGACCGCTGACCTTTTATTGAGAGTGAATCTTACTAACCTAGTTTTTATTGCGTTTTTAATAGTGAACGACAAAAACAGTTCTTATTACCTAAACACATGAATGAATAATACATTTTTTTACATTTTAAATATTAACAAGTAATATTTATTTGTTAATAAAAACAAATGCACAAATATAATAATTGTTTCCGAATGTTGGGTTATTTAGTATTTTTACTATTGTTAACGTTTTCACTGTTTTATAATTGAAAATGAGTTTTTAGTATTTTGTTCAATTAATTACTCAGTTGGTAATGACTATTTGCTTTTCAAAGAGTATAGTATAGTATCTATCTATTTAAAATGATAGTACGTCTAAAAAAACACTCATCGCGTCCATAGCGCTTTGTTAAGTTGGGATCCGCAGCACTTTGATTTTTAATCCAATTGCAAAATTGAAGACGACTGGGGAAATTGCTGTTTCGCTTCAACGTTCAAACGCTTTGTAATCCGCCGGTTAAAATTAATGTCATTATCATAATCACCCTGTATACGTAAAGATATATGTTTTTAATGCTCATACCATAACCTTGCGTATACAGGGTGTTTTAGAAAGACCTCCCGTAAATACATGTGGTGATAGCAGGACAACAAAATAAGAATTTTTTGTCGTATGAATTATATGTCTATCTCCTCTTGTTAGTAGTATAGCAACCCCTGTTCTGGATCACCTCGATGGCATGAGAGAACCCCCCTATCTTTGGTCTATTCTTGATGGACATGCCATCGAGGTGATCCAGAACGGGGGTTGCTATACTACTCTTGTTTTCGAGATACAACCCGACAAAATACGTAAAATGGAGTTTTTACGAAAATTTCCAAACGGTGCGAATTTTTTTTATGAAATTTGGTATTTCGGGGTTTTTAAGGACGCCAAATACGCTGGTCTAATTATTTTTTGGCTATTTCATAGAGGGCGCTAGTTATGCTACATTCCTATTAGATTTTAAGTTCTAATTTTTTTCCAGTCTCCCTGAAATTTTCAATTAATCTCTTTACTCTTCCGACCATATAGCTGCCATACCTTCATTGTTTTTAAAATAGTACACCCATTTTTAATAGCTGTCACGCTGTCTTTTTTTTTTAGTTGGCAACGCTTTACCACACAAACGGCGCATAATCAATCTTGCGTGAAATTTGGGACACTCGATACAGATCTGTGCAAAATTTCAATTAAATATTTTGAAAAACACCGGTTTATTAATAATTTTTTTTTAGATGGTTATTTTGATTGAAAAATGGCATAAGGTCCCATTATTTTCACTAAAGAAATCTGTAGTTACCGGCTTGACTACTTTTTTGTGACGCCCTTAGGATTTAGGATACTCCTCTATATTCGCATCATCCCTTCTGCTCCTACATGAATAATTAAGAATAGTGAATATGGGGGACGTAAAACTCTCATGGTTTAAACATGCACAATCTGACATCCTACCTAAAACTTGAACCTCGACGTCTCTCCTGGCGGTGTTTCTCTGCCTGTTCTGTGCTTGACAGGTGTACGTGCCCGCGTCTTCCCTCCTCTGGGTCTGCTCCACCACCAGGGTGCCATTAGCGTAGACTCTTTGGCGTCTGTTTACCGGCAAGGCTTGCCCTTCCCGCTCCCACGTGATGGTCTCTATGGGATAGCCAGCCACGGGGCACTGGAAAAACAGAAAAGAGCAAGATGAACGTGGAGATGCGAGCCGGGAGTTTTATCGTTATCAAAGTAATATCCCGGATATATTTGTAAAGGGAACTACGGCTCAACGTTGATCTGCTGTTAGTTTTTAAGATGCCAGATATCACAAACATAAAAAGCAGATAATTGAGGTCGTTACTTACTATTTACCGCAATTTTTTTCAAAATGTTTGCCTATATTTTCATTTTTTTATATTAAATGTAAACAGTTCTCTATCAACGTGCCGTAAACGGCCGCTATTTTCTGTTGTACGTAGGTACCTGTTATTTACGAGTTTGTGCTCTACGTTGTATTTGTTTCATGTTTCATAACATAAAAGAACTCTTTTAGTTGTACTTATGTGTTTTTGTTTATTGAGTCGGGTATTTATAATAATTCTGCATTATTATTATTAAATATATCGGTGAAATACATTCTCAAAGATCGCCCCTAAAAACAGTTTTTTCTAAATATCTGGGGTTCTAATTAATATTTTGGAATAACATATGTTTCATTAGTGATTTCGTGTTTGGGTGTTGCTACCCTTATTTTTTATTTCAAAAAAACTATATTTTTCACACATTTTATATATATAAAAAATTCATATTTGTTAAAAAAAAATTAAAAATATAACTCATGTAAGCAAATTGACAAAATTAAGTTCTCTTTTTAGGAGGCGAACAACCTCCTAGTGAGCGAAAAATGTCTATATGATTATAGTCTGTTTAGAAATGAAAGAGATTAATAAAAGCTTATTATGTATGCAAATCGTAAATAAATGTAGTACTGGTGCTTATATTCAATATTTTTATATTATGTATTATCGGTATAGAATGAGGTGTACTTTTAAAAAAACTTTGTGCGATCGGACTGTACTAAATTGTAGCAGGTAGCTAAAATTTAATCCCCGACAATCCGTCTTTGTCTATGCCGCTTCAATTTCTCGGTCCATTTCTCTTATAAGTAAACAATATAAAAACAGCATTTCAAAACATGAGGCTACTTTAAGCATCATAACCGGGTTAAGAGGGTTTTTAGTAATTCAAATAAAATTATTCAATATTATTATCAAAATATTTATTTAAATTTAATGAATAGACTTTTATTCCACACAAAAATATATGTATTTTGAAAATTCAAATTATGGTGAGTAAATGTAGTGTTGTATAAATGTACAATAAAGAAAATAAAAAAGTAGGTATATTAAAATTCATCCTCTGAATATTCTGATGAATTATCTTCGTCTCCTAGATTGATAACGATAGGTTCCACAGTAACGTCAATTAAATTATCGAGTTCCCACATTTTCTCCTCTTCTTTTTGTACATGATGTATACATCTTTGCCAGTTATCTGCAGTTACTCGTTCCAAGGAATTTTTTAACAAAATTTTCACGTCACTTAATTTAAACGTCGTATTATTTCGCGCTACATCTCCTTTTACCTGCGCCCAGACTAATTCGATTGGGTTAAGTTCACAGTGATAAGGTGGTAACCGTAGTACCGTTATTTGGCGATTTGTTGCCATTTCATCGATAACATATTTTTTCTGATCTTTATTAAGATTGACAAGTGTCAAAAGTTCCTTTTTCACCATATTTGTTTCAAAAGAAATGTTTTTTCCGGATAACCATTGAATTATATCGGCTTTCCTCCAAGCAGTCGTAGGCGTCCGCTCGGTCTGCCGTGAATGGTAACTGGCATTATCCATGACAATTACAGACCCCGGAGGAATAAGATCCAACATCTGTGTAAAATACTCTTCGAAAACATCTGCGTTCATGTCTTCGTGATAGTCACCTGTATTTTTAGATTCAAATAAAAGTAAACCGCCATCTACAAAACCACTGGCACTACCTATATGTGTCACTATTAATCTTCGCCCTTTACCTGAAGGTGCCTTGAACCCTGTTGAAAGTCCATCCAAAAATGCTTGTCGAAAACTTTTTACATTTTTATCTTGCCATACTTTTGTTACAGTATATCCCTCGTTGACCCAAGTTTCGTCTAGATAATAAATATTCCTCCCTTCGTCACGGAATTTTCTAATTGATCTTAAGTAGGATCTTCGCCAACAAATAATTTCATCTTTATCGATAAGAACTGACTTCCTGTTCTGCTTTTCCCAGCAAAAATTCAACTCTCGTAAGACGGCCCATAATTTGCTTCTACTGATTTTTGGCAAATCGTTGTCCTCTGAAAGTTCACTTAAAATTTTGTTTAGCGTTGGTATTTCTTTTTTAAAATAAAATGAGTGTACTTTTCTGCGAATGACGTTTTTGAAGAAATCATCTATAACGACTTTTGACCTCCCTATAGATGATTTTGGGGGATTTACAGTATCTTTTTCATGTTTTGTTTCCTTTAAAAGTCTGTAGATAGTCGATTTTCCAATCCCTGACATTTTTGTTAGCATTAGTGTTACCCGATAATTACCTGAAACGAAATATTACCACACGCCCTTGGCCGGTTCTTATCTCGGGGTTTTATTACTCTCTTTCATTTCCAAACAGACTATAGAATTGTTTGATATATTTTTATTCTGACAGAGCGCTACAAGTAGCGCCCCCTAGAACTAATTGCAAAATAGTTATCAATTTCGTAATTACCACCTAAAAAAACATAGGCATACAAACTTTACTCGTTACAGAGTGTTCACAAAATCCTAACAAATATTATCTTTTTCAAAAGCAAACATTTTGTTTTTGATAAATGATAAATCAAATTTGTCACAGCGTTGACTCACCCTGTATACTTTTTCAATGACATTCACAACTGGATACGTATCTGGGTAGTGTCCTGTTTGTATTTCTTATACGAAAAATAATAAACAAACAATAAACGGTAAAATAGAAACGATAAATGTTAAACGATAAACATTAAACAGTAAACAGTAGTAAAAAATAAAACATATATCACTAAATCATGATTGGGTTACCTTAATGATCAAGCTGGTACCGGCGACTCCGGTAATTTTTGGCATCTCTCGAATATAGGGCAATCCGTAAACGTTCACCCTCGCGCTGTGCGAGATTTTTCCGACGCTGTTATGGGCCGTGCAAGTGTATTCGCCCCCATCTTCTGCCTTGATGTTGGTTATGTTCACGTGACTGATGACATCGTCCTGTACGGTGACGTACTGACCTGGATGACAGGAGAAAAATCGTATCGTGAACACTGCTTGTACTAATTTATTCACGAACACAATTTAATAGTAACTATATATTTATTATACATATACAGGGTCGTCTAGAAAAAGAAGTTTTTTTGCCAGGAACCGGAACAGATAATTTATACTCAGAAAACACTTTTGAACTCGAATAATATTTCATAAGGGTATATGACAGTGTATTTATTGGAGAAAAATAAGGTAAACCACTTATTTTTTTTAACTTTTGAAGGCAAAAAGTTTCATTAAAGAAAATTAAAACCTTGATAATACTAAAATTAACCTAGGAATAAATTCCAAAAGAAATAATAATCAGAAATAATTCGTGAAATAAACATTCCCATACTCAAACAAGAAGAAAGCTCCGAGAGTTAGGAATAGTATTTATTTTAACATGTTAAAATAATACTGAAGTTTTCACTATTTGCTGTATAGTTAACCAGTTAATACTTTTTTAAATTTGGTCATTTTCCAGTTCATAAATTCAGACACGACAGAAATGCATTTTGTTTACGATCTCAATGACGATAATGCAGAAGAGACACGTCAAAATTGTCGTCATAGACATCTTCAACGAATTATGCCTTACAAAAAAAAAATTTTTTTTAGCATCTTAACGTAGCTCCAAAAGTATATATTGAGAAAGACTTAAAACAATCACAACAGTTCCAATCACAATATGCATTCGAACACATTTTGCCATTTTTCTCGAAAACATTGCGTTTTACGAAAAAAGTATCAAGAGACAAAAAAGTTTCTAAATTCAATGGCTTTCTGGCGGACTGATAATTTTTAAGAAACTTAAATATGCAATCAAATCAGTTTGGCTACGAAAAATTGTCTTAAGCCCGCCAAAAAGCGTAACACTCTCAGATTCCACATGTCACAAAACCCCTGTGTACCAAATTTAGTGATTCTCGTTCAACAGGGTTTTGAGATATAAAAAAGGACTATTCTTAGGGATGGATTTCAAGAGTTGTTGTAACTCCGAAAGAAAGGGCCACTTGCTAAAATAAAAAATACGGGTCCCCTTTTGTCTTAAGAATCTGTGACCAAATTTTGCATTAATTTCGAGACACTGTATATGCAAAAATCGAATACCCGACACAATTATCAGCAGGGGAAATGTTTCGCAGTTCTACTGATCCAATTACTTCGTTTACTGTGTCATAAAATGACATTTATATGGAAGTATTAGAATAACAAATTTCAATAAAATATTACAAGACGTTAGAAAGTTATCTGAAAAAAACTTCTTTTTTGTCAACTTTGATGCCCTCTAGCGGTAAAAGGTTAAATCAGGCGGCAACTTACAATAAAGGTAAGTTATTATTTTCATCGCAGGAAAACATAATAGTTCCATGTACATCGAATTAGAACACCCAGTATATTGCACGATTTATTTGAGCGTATATGTGGCGCTTAAGAACTACTGGGTGACTTCTTCATAAGCAAAGTAACATTTAATCTATGCTATCGCGGTACTTGCCTACTAGAAACCTCGGGTGATCAGGGATAGGAAACCCGTCGAGGGTCCACGTGAACTGCGGGGGCGGGTTGCCCGACGCCACACACTTCAGTGACACCATCGGGCCGGGCTGCAGGGTCTGCTCGGAGAACCAGTAGATGAGCTCGGGGCCGGCATCACCCATGTCTAGCTCGGCGGTGGCCTGCGCCTGGTCCCAGTTATTGCTAATAACGCACTGGAACATGCCGCGGTCGTCCTTCGTCAGCTGTCTTATGGTCAGCCTGGGGGGCTCCACCATGACTTCCATCCTGTTGTCCTGCGCCACAGGCTTGCCTGGAATTGAAAAGGACGACGGTAGAAATTTTAACCTGTCACTGATAAACTTTCAGAAACTGAGTTGTGTATTATACATAGTGTGTCCCCGGATAAGGTACCGCACTCTTGTAAATTTCAAAATATGACATGTCCTTAAGGAGGTATATCGGGGTCCGAGGGAAGTGAGGAGCGCAGGGGAGGTCCTATGCTTTTCTTATGGGACTAAATCCCGCTGTCAATTTGAAAAAATTTTATTCTATTGAAATTATTTGCGATAAACATTAATTATATAGCAAAGAAATCTACTCATATGCACATAGCATACATATTGACTAATTAACAACATAAACATATCATATTTAAGTAGTTTTAAATTATATTTAATGAACGCATAAAGACTATGTAGATGTGGCAACAGCGCTAATAATTGACTAGCAGTTGTACACACTGCGAACCTACAGACCTCGGACATCGGAGATATTGCGCGTCAAATTCGGGTAAAGATGCGTACGCGTTCAAAAATGTATTGTGTGTAAACTATGTACAATATAATTATTATATATAGCAAATATATCGTATTATCCTCGCGAAGATTTGTATCCTTTATTTAAAATCCGTAAATCATGTGAACTGGTAAAACAACGAGAATTATGTTAATTTAGTTCTAAAGAAATGAAATGACACTCGCGCCCATCTCTCGTCCAAGTCAAAGAAAATGTTGGATGCAATTTTGAAGGTTCTGTGATAGAAATTACATTATTACTCACTGTTCGTGTTTTTCATCTCTATTTTAGTAATGTTACAAAAGTTTTGCAACTATAACTAATTTTTTAGATATAAAGTTTGCTGAGAAATATTTATGTTCCTTTTATCTCAAGTATTACTAATTATATTAATCAAGTAAAGAAAACTTTATGTAACCCTAAATATTGCTGGGTAATGATTACGATGTTTTTATAAACCATTAAATATATTAAAAGGATTTATCAACTGTATTTTTTATTCCAAGAAATATATCACAGCTTCCTTGTCTTTTTTAATTAATCTAGTTTTTTAAAAACATTACAAAAAATCATCTGTTGTGGATAATTTTTTGTTGATAACAATGTACATGGGATTTAGGAAAAAATGTATATATTTTTTAAATCAATTTCGATTTTATTAAGTATTTCAAATGTATTCCCTCCTTGCTGTCAGCTGATTGCGACATTGCGACATTAATCGTGAAGTCAGACAGAAATGCAATTATTGGTTTCTGTTTCTAATGAATACAGCTGTACTATGTTCAAAACTTACATTAGTTTTATATCAAAAATAAGATAATAATGTGTACTATCTATGGAAAAGTTTTGTTTCACAATTTCTATATTTTTTTCTCAGTTATGGGCCAAAAAAGAGCCGCACCGTCCATCTTCGCCATATAAACCTATGTTAAAATGAACAACTTTCAACAACAATATCTCAAAATCTAGATTAAAAAAAAAATTCAAAAAAATATGACGCACGGAGGGAGCACTGGCTAATACGCTATATAAATTTCAAGTACATCTGTGCATTTGAGTAAATCCGATATACCTCCTTAAGCAAACTGCCCTTAATTTTTGTTTTCTTTAAAAATTGTATTTAACAAAATTGTTCGAGAACTCAAGAAATGCTTAAATACGGGGTTTAGTCACAAAAGAGGAATAATCACATTTTGCGAAGAAAAAGATGCCGCAATTTTTAACCATCTTACACACCATGTAATTACCATGGATATTTCCTAATCAGTGTCAAAGTCAACATATTTATTTTTATTAACCGAATAATTTTGATTAATAATGCTAACCCTGGAGCAACGAATTTATCTTGTGAAATGTTATGGAATCGGTCATATCGATGCGCGATACAAATTTTTAATGAAAAGTATCCAAATGTAAGTGTAACTCGTAGAGCAGTTCTCAAGCTAATTATAAAATTCGATACCAGTGGTGATGTAAAGAATATTAAAGAGATAAGGAAGGAATACAATGATAACGAAGCTGCTGCTGTTGTAGTTGGACTCTGTACAAAACAATCTAAAGATGTCACTCAGGAATAATGTCAGAAAACATAGATACATATTAGCAAATCTCATATTCAAAGAATTTTAGTATACAACAACAACCCAGTGTTTAATCATAAATTGCTTGATGGAGATGATGATCGTAATTTGGACTTTGTTTAACAATGGGCGAGAAACTGATTGAAAACAGATTCTTTTATCCCAATACTTTATTTACTGACGAATCAACATTCACAACTAATGGCGTGGTTTTCTCTCAAAATTGTAGATACTGGACTAAATATAATCCAAATAACCCCTCACAAAATTAATGAAAAATGGGTCCCAGTCGATTTTGCTGAAATTGCAATATGTTATAGTTTTTGACTTTCTGATCAAAAGTTGTTATGGGCCCAAAGTGATCCTATGAATAGTTTCAGAGATAAAGAGGGGGGAAGTATGTGATTTTTGCTGTAGGACTGAGTAAGCTTCACGAAGTTTCAAGTTGATTGATTCAAAAACTGAGGCATGTAATGAATTTTGACCAGTAAGTACAATGCTTTTGGGATCACTGAACCTGAATTCGGGGATAGGTCTTAGGTCACCTGGAGGTCAAGGAAGGGTCGTTTGAAGGTCAAACTGAAGAAAAGACTTCGTAGAATCTAAACCTGGACATAGCGTAACCCTAAGGGTCACCTTCAAGTCAATTCAAGGTCACTTCAAGATCAAACTAAAGAAAAGGCTTGTATTGAACAGTGCACCAGTGCGTATATAATTTTTTTTTGGGGGGGGGGGGAATTGAGTTCGGGGAGAGCTTAGCCCTACAAGGTCATATTTAGGTTATCAAGATCATTTCAAGGTCAAAGTAAAGAAAAGGCCTTTCACAAATATTAACCTGCAAGTAGGTATGTATGCCTTTGAGGTCGCTGGACCTGAATTCCGGGGTAGCTTATCCCTATAAGGTCACCTGGAAATCAAGTCAAAGTAATTTCATTTGAACCCCCTATCTCCGAATTCAGGTTCAGCAACTTACAAGTTAACATTCGCGAAAGGCCTTTCTTACTTTGACGTTGAAATGATCTTGACTTGACCGAAATGTGACCTTGTAGGGCTAAGCTATCCCCGAATTCAGTCCCCCCCCCCAAAAAAAAACTTATATACGCACTGGTTGACATTCAATACAAGCCTTTTCTTTAGTTTGATCTTGAATTGCCTTGAAGGTGACCTTTAGGGTTACGCTATCTCCAGACTCAGATTCTGCGAGCCCAAAAACCAATAATTTTATTTTGGCAGAACTAAATAGCGAAAAATTAGAGTTCAGAAGAAAACTAATATTTCAACAAGACGGATGCCCTGCACTTTCCACACTTCTAGTGAGAAACTTGGTTGACCTTCACTTCCCGAACAAGTGAATCGGACGTTATGGACCAATAGGTACCTTTACACTTACGCTCAATCGTGATCGACTGGAGCGCCCCGTTCCAATCGCGCGTATTTTCGCTCAATCCTGAGTGTCGCGTTCTAAAACTTTGTTGTTAAAAATTGACACGCTCCAATCGCACGGTATTGCCTGCGCGGTGAAATGTGACATGATAACACGGCTAGTGTAAATTGAAAAGTGTCAAGTTTCTCGCGCGATAGTCGTGGCTCGTGGAGTGTTAAAAATTTCAACAGTTTTATAGACGGTTTGTTCTGAAATGGAGCAAATTATAAATAAAAAAAGAGAATTAAAAGTGGGTTTTTTTTTTCTTTAGATTTAATCTTCCATAAAGATGGATAGGATTTATATAGCTCAATAAAATTTGTAATTGTTTCTTTTGACCAATATCGTGCATCTGCCATAGTCTATAAAAAAATACAAAAACGCTTACAAATATGCGAATCCTAGGTAGCTATGTTTATATTAAAAAATTAAAAAAAGTACTTATCGCCTTTTAAGAGTAAACTCCACAAGACCGCGTGAAAATCGAAGTAAACTTTACCCTACGTGAAATTTCCGCATGAAAACAACTGGCGAAGTAATGCAGGATTTGACACGTCTAAGAACCGCGCGATTATATACATTTGCACTAACAAGCTTTCGCGTGTGATTGGAACGGGGCGCTCCAGTCGCTCACGATTGAGCGTAAGTGTAAAGGTACCTAATACCTTGGCCTGCACCCGTCTTGTCGCCATTAGACTATTTCTTATGGAGATACCTAAAGCAAAAAGTGTATTCAAACGATTTTGACGATAATATTGATTTACTTAAGCAAAAAATTCAGGAAGGTGTTACAACTATAACCGAAGAAATGATCACGTCTGTGCAAGGAATTTAGAGAAAGAGTAGAAAAATGTGTATAACTTGCTTCGTTGTTATTGTTAATTTCAGTTATTTCTATTTTTTTTTTCATTAGAAAAGCTACTTTAATTTGGTTTGAAGGCTATCGTGGCAGTTGTTAGTTGTTAATTGTCAAAAACTCGAAAACTTTCAGAGTTACTTCTGAGGAAGAGAGCGAAACGTCAAGGAATCTAATTAATTATATCAAATTGAAAGCAAAAGTTTACTTATTTTTTACAATTTGTGCCTGCTTTAAGTAAGATTGTTAAAAATTGCATCTGCTTATTTGCAAAATGTGATTATTCTTTCTTTTTTACTAAACCCCGTATTTAAACATTGAGTTCTCGTACAACTTTGTTAAATACATATAGTTTTGAACGAAAACAAAAATTAAGGGTACTTTGCTTAGGGAAAATTTCACATTATGAAATTTTTTGGACGCCCTGTATGTTCTATTACATATTTGATTATTGTTTATGGCTTCTTAAGATAAGCAAAACCTTTTATCGAGAATAACTTTTTCTCAAAGAATCAACAACTAAACTACTGAAGCAATAAGAGAATAAAAAAAATTTCATTATTTTTTTTAGTGATTTTGAAATTTGACTGAATAGTGGTCGTATCGAGATTTTAAGCTTTAAGTCTCTAGTTTCAAGACCATTAGACCAAACATTT